ACTTTCCAAATCACAAAATATAAATATAATTAAATATAATTAATTATATTTAAATATAAATATAATTAATTATATTTATATTTAAAATATGAATATAATTAATTATTTATATTAATAAATAATTAATATAAATATAATTAATAATTAACAGGTCTCATTTTTAAATATATTTAAGGAGTATATGTGTGTGTGTGTGTGTGTGTGTGTATGTGTATGTGTAGCACTTTGCAGTAAAACTTTTTTTGGGAAACAATAACACCTAAAAACAAAGCTGAAAACATAGTAAGGTTTGAGGCCAATGTTTCCAGGGAAAGATCATTAGCAAATTCATGACTCAGAGTCTGGTTTAGACCTCTATACTAAGCTATTTGTTGTTTTAAGAATAACTCCTTGTGTATCAGAGAGATTAAATTATCTAAGTAGAGAAATACAGTTGTAAATTCCAAAATGCTTCTGAAATTCACATATATTATTTTTTGACAAGCTTTAAGGATTTAATAACCTTAGGATTTAGTTAAAAACATGATTTAGAAGTATTTGCAGATGAATTCTAAGAGGATTTTATTTAACATCCCATGTTGGTCTAGTGTTCCTGTATAAAATTAGTATGAACTTGGTGTTTGTTACATTATTTCTCAATGTGCAGCATACACAAATGTTTTAAATTTTGAGAGTTGTGTTTTAATTTTCATTTATGTGTAGACTCAATGGCAGGTTTTCCCTTTATAGCAATGATATAAAACATTTTACATCAAATTGATTTAAATTAAACGAGTATGTCTATTTAAAAAGAGATGGTAATACAAGATGGTAGATGTGTGGGAAATTGGGAAAGTTAATGCATGATTAATTGAAGTTTGGGCAACATTGGCTTGTTGGTAAACAATATAAATTATATTGGCTTGTACTATAATTTTTATTATGTCATTGAATAAAAACCTTATAGCTGTTGATAATATATATGTTAGAATACTGACTCTTTAAGACTCTTTTATTAAACTGAAAATTATTTGGCTTCTTGGTACCTGGCATCAAAGTTAATTGAACAGAAAAAAAATCGCTGTAATTGGTTAACTCCTACTCAGTTAAAAATAAAAGTACATGTTAAATGCTATTCTATTGAGACGGTTTCTAGGACTTCTTGGCAAGAGTTGGGCAATTTTATAAAAATGAGGCATGTACTGCTTAGTAAATTGGTCTGGTGTACCAAGCATTATGTGAACGGTGTTTGTTAAGTTGTATCAGTCAAAACTTTGGGAAAATTCTTCTGGTTTGGGTTTACATAATGCTTATACCTAGTGGTAAGAGTAGACGCTGATTTTTTTCCCCTTAGAATCAGAAAAGGAAAAAATCAGGATATTTAGAAGATGCATTGAAATTACTTTTTTCTAGAAAATACTTTTAGAAATATTAAAGTATCAGGTAACAAATTTTTGAGCATTAAATATAGACCTTATTTTTAGAAAGAATATACATTTAACATTTTTTAACTGATTTACTTACTTCACATTTAAAAAACAAATTTATGTGCATCTGTACAAAATATAAGAAATGTGGTGATAGTAAAAAATATAAAGTAGAAAGTTCCCCTTTCTCCTTCTAATCTTCACCTAGCCCTATTCTTCAGTGACAGCTATGACCTATTAACAGTTGGAAGCCATCTAAGTTTTAGAGTCAAGTGTAATGGCATTTAGGAACTTGAAAGAGTCTTTTTTCCATAGTTATGCTTCCAACTGGGTTTATATTTTCAAGCAGATGTGATGGAATTACTGTGGGCTTTGGAGTCAGATCTATGTTCGAATTCTAATTCCATCATAGAAGCAACAATGTGAATTTGGCAAATTCCTTACCTTTCTGAGCTTTAGATGCCTTGACAGCAAGGCTTAATAACTGTTTCTTTCTGAGCTTTAATCTGAACTAATCTTTCTTTTTTTCTCTCTCTCTTTCTCTTTTTAATAAGAAGTTTAAGAAAATGTGGCATAGGAATACATGACATATTTTCTCCTGGAGAAACAGATTTTGGTATTTTAGTGACCCAGCATGTATTCATTCAGTAATACACTCATTTATCAAGAGAACATTCTGCCCAAGTACCTACCTTCAGGTTGTAAAAGGTCAACCTGTAAAAGATGCCCCGGGAATCTTCCTGGAATTTAGATAGCCTCTGTTGGGTTTCACTTTGCACTTATCAATAATTGAGCACTGGGATAAAAATAAAAACAAAGGCTCTCATCTTACAGTGTGCGAACATGGGTCATGTGTGCTAAGTCATGCAGGTAAGATGAGGAGCAAAGCCCTGTGGGGTAGCCAGTCTAAAGAAGTGGGCTGGTGCCTCCCTCCTACAGAAAGACTGCCTCAACATTAAAGGGAATTAACGTAATTGCTCCCGAGGAGGGAAATGTATTTTGCTTTTCAATGGTTGTTGTATAAGCTTTAATTATCTAATCCATACACAGAAGGTTTCTACAAGCAGCTTTCCCTTTTAGCAGCCGTGGTCACCTTTCAAATACTGCACCGTCTTTAGGCTTAAGAAATCACTGCCTTATAACCAACTCTGTTATATAACCTACCCATTAGGGTACAGTAAAAACCTTTTGTAACGTTGGTTACTGAAAATGGTCTTTAGAGTTAGGGTTGGTTTAAATGGAATTTTGTGATTATTTGAACTGCAGCTAGAGTCGTGATTCTCCATTTGTATAGACTCTGTGCCTCATGTCTAGCTGCACTTTTACAGTTATTTCCTTTTCAGTCTTGTTCTTTTTTTTTTTTTTGAGACAGAGTCTCACTTTGTTGTCCAGGCTAGAGTGAGTGCCGTGGCGTCAGCCTAGCTCACAGCAACCTCAAACTCCTGGGCTCGAGTGATCCTTCTGCCTCAGCCTCCCGAGTAGCTGGGACTACAGGCATGCGCCACTATGCCCGGCTAATTTTTTTTTTTATATATATATATCAGTTGGCCAATTAATTTCTTTCTGTTTATAGTAGAGACGGGGTCTCGCTCTTGCTCAGGCTGGTTTTGAACTCCTGACCTTGAGCAATCCGCCCGCCTCGGCCTCCCAAGAGCTAGGATTACAGGCGTGAGCCACAGCGCCCGGCCTCAGTCTTGTTCTTGTTTCATGCCTGTTTAGCTTTGGTTGGTGTGCACTTTATCAGACCTTCATGTTTACTTGCCAGATGAAGTAATGGGCTTTGTCATTAAAGTTAGAAGTTTAAAAAAATCTATTTATTTTACTTTTCTTTCTTTAGAGAGTTCAGAATTGACATGTTTTCTAGCACTTAAATTATTAGTAAGTAAATACATGTAATATATTGCTAGGGGAATAGCTGAAAGCTCAAAGAAGCTTTGTAAGTAGAGAGCAAAACCCTACTTTTTAAGAACTGGGACTCTGCCATTCTTGTCACCGAAATGCATAGGGTTTTGATGTTGGGATGTGTTAAAGGAAATAATGCCATTAATTATAGGTAGAGAGGATTTTAAGAATTAAATTAGATTCTAACTATAGAGGAAAAGGACCAATGTCCTCAGGTGAGAATTAAAAAATTAAATTGCACTCTTTTTGGTTTGTATTGCTTTTCATATCCTCCTGACCACTGCCTGGCTTTCTCTTGCCCTTCCATCCTCTCTCTTTCCCTCCCTCCTTCTCCCTGCCCTAGCCACACTGAGCTCTCTGTCCAACTCTCTAAGCTCTTTCCTATCTCAGGCACCCTTGCCCTTGTCATTCCCACTCCTGGAAAACTGTTCCTTTTTTCCCTTAGCTTTCCCCATGCATCTCCCCCTCCATTTTTTTTTTCCCTAAATGTCACCCAGAGACTCCTCCCTGACTACCCCAAGTAGCCCCTTTCTATTCTCTTTCCAGGACCCTGTTTCTTTCCTTTTCAGCACTTGTCTCAGTCTATATTTATTTTTGTTAATTCTTGTCTTTGCTCCACAAGAATGTAAATTATATTAAGGGAGGTACCAGTACCTGACATAGTGCCTGGCATATACTACAAAGTCAGTAAGTTCATTAAATGAAAGTTGTTCGCTGGTTTTAAGAGCTCCTTTTTGTTTGTGTCTTTCTTTAAGATTAGTTTATCATGCTGAACCAGAGGGATTTAAGTATTCCTGGTATCAGGAGTCAAGCCAAGGTCTGGCGCGGTGGCTCAGGCCTGTAATCCTAGCACTCTGGGAGGCCGAGGCGGGCGGATTGCTTGAGGTCAGGAGTTCAAAACCAGCCTGAGCAAGAGCGAGACCCCGTCTCTACTATAAATAGAAAGAAATTAATTGGCCAACTAATATGTATATAGAAAAAATTAGCCGGGCATGGTGGCTCGTGCCTGTAGTCCCAGCTACTCGGGAGGCTGAGGCAGTAGGATCGCTTGAGCCCAGGAGTTTGAGGTTGCTGTGAGCTAAGCTGATGCCAGGGCACTCACTCTAGCCTGAGCAACAAAGTGAGACTATAAAGAGTCAAGCCAATATGTTTTCCAGTCCTTCTTACCTATGCTCATTTTCACCCATTTCATTGTGATTTTATTGAGCATGTAGAGAACAACATTGGCTTTCCACAGAGTAAATAGACACTTCAGTAGATCTCCCATGGGTATTGTTCTCACTGTGAGATGACTTTCAGAATTCACCAAGCACTGAAATAACTCACAGCAGATCTTTTATGAAGGACAAGGAAGCCTGCATTGGTCTTTGGTGAGCACACAGTGTAATGATGGAGGTGCAACTGTCGCTGCCATTGTGTCTATTCAGTGCATCCTTGTAAACAGCCCAGGATGGCCTCTTTGTAGATCTGCCCTCTGTCTCTAAGCCCTTTCCTATCCTTAAGCCAAAGACTGTTGCTTAGCTTCAAGCTGAAGAAGAAATTTTGCAGTTCAGCTGCTATCTAATGATCAGCACTATCACTATTGACAGTTGTCACTTAAAATGGTAGAAGTGAAATGCAAATTTGGTGAGTAATAGAATTAGTTTTGTGTCATTCTTTGGTATTCTAAATGTTGCTATTTATCTGTCTTAGGTAATCTATTTAAAGAAGACACCGGAAGAAGCCTACAGAGCACTCCTATCTGACTCAAAGCCCCCCTATCTTCCATTCAGGTATAACTGCTTGTCAGATGGGCTAGACTTTTACTAGAGAGCTCACTACTTCAGAGTTGGGTGATGGTGTTTTGAAATTGTCTTAGGATTGTAACTATTAAATGGAATCAAATGAGATGGTAGTTTTTCTTATTATATTTTATAGAGTTTTTACCCCCCCTAACTAGTAGGAATAAAATAGCTTTCTTCTTTTAGGAATTTATTTTTTCCTTTGAATCCTTTCTATATCTTGATGGTTTGCTTGAAGTACCAAGAGTACCTGATGTATGAGCTAATAACCATGTCAAGATTTGTTAGATTTCAGTAATCTATATAATTGATCCAGCCATTCTTTCTTTCATTTCATGGATGTTGATTGAGCTGTGACCATATGTCAGGGGCTGGGGATATAGAATAAGACCCTCTAAGTACCTTCTAGGAACACATGTTTAGTGGGGACCCTAAATCATCTGTTTAGCACACAAATCTGACATCCCCAGGAAGGCTTTTTCTCATTACAGTGTTGGAAAAGAATATAAGTATCACTTAAAGAAGATCTCTTAAAAATTTGGGGAAAACTTGAGCTTGTTTAAAAATTAAAAGGTAACATACATCAAAACTCCCATATCAGTGCATTTCTGATTGCGAATCATTCTAATATTTTTGCCTTTTTGCTTATATGTATGTCAAAATCTACAAGCATGGATATTACTTATTATTTTTACTATTTATTGTAATTACCAACAACAATGAGAGAAAGAAACCAGATGACTGAGGAGACCTTTTTGTTTGTTTGTCTCCCTCATTCTGCTGTAAACTCTCAGAGGGCAGGCCCCAGTGCCTTACACTTAAAAGCGCTTTTAGTAAATATTTGAATGAATAGACTAAGACCTAATGCCTTAAGATCCAAGGGTTTCCCACCTCTGTCTCTGAGACCACAGGATTTATTTCCCTGGGTGAGTGAGTGTCAAGGTGTGCATTAAGCACAAAATGCAACACCCATTGTGCTTAATCTCAGTGAAAGCATTTGGTAAGGTATTGGATTGGGATTCTGAGAGGAAAATGTCCTCAAGCAACCTGAAGTATGAGCTTATTAGCCATTGAAGGACAGGTAAAACTTGACAGGTTATGTAGAAGAGAGTTAATGGTAAAAGCATTTTGTTTTTCCTTTCACTTTTAATGGCTCCTATAATTTGAAAGTCCTTTGTGAAATATAATTGTGTTTTTTTGGAAAAGGGAATAATGATAATAACTTCATTTAACCTCTAAGCAAAATGGTTAGGAGTTATACTTTGGAGGCAGAGACACTTCAAAGGAAGCAGAACGAATCTTCTTACTATTTGTAGTAAATAAGTATAAGTAACTTGGGCAAATTAGCCTCTCTGAGCCTCAGTTTCTTTATCTGTACAATGGCTTCAGAGCTATTCTGGGGATCAAATGAGGTAATGCACTTATTCCTCTGCCAGATGTAGTATCTGCTTTTGTTTTTCTCATTGTTGTTAGTACATCCACAAGGATATCCTTAAGCCTATAAAGATGAATAGGAGTTATTTCTTCTAATGATCTCACATTCTAGAAGGGGCGGGCAGATCTGCAGGCTTACAATGAATTGTAAAAAAGTTAGGTTGTATAAAAATAGAAATAAAGACGAATTCTGACAAAGATTTATGAAAGTGTCAGACTTATTCGAATTAAGCTTTTAAAGAAGGATAAGGGTTTGACAGATAGAGAATGGAGAGGTGGGAAAGTCAGGCATGGGTATGCCTTGTGGAAAGCCCTGGAAACGTGTGTGGTGTCTGAGCCAACTTCAGAAGTCCGCTGACCACAGCGTCTGTGGTGGGAGGAGGCACCTACTGTGGGGATTACAGGCGCACTTTTCCTGTGGACAGTCAGGGCACCTTACATTTGTTTTTAAAATCAGAAAAGCATTTGCAGTTTTTCTTTTTTTTAATTTTGAGAAAATACATATGCACCTGGAAATTGTAATGTTATAGTATTTATAAAATTGTAATGCCCATTAATAGGCCCAATGGATAATGTAGATATTTAAAAACTTTTTAACTGGAATGTATAGATTAATTTCAATGCTTATAATGTCCAATTAGAAGTTAAAGGAGATACATTTCTGTTTCACTAGCCAGATAAGCCTGGCTATCCTTAATTGTTAATTTAGATGAATAAATTGGAGGAGGAGGAACTAGTTCTTACTTTAAGCATAATTATATTTTAGCTTTTTTGTGCTAGGTAATTAATTTGTTTCCTGAGAACTAGAATTTTTGAATAATCAAAGGCCAGAATGGAAGAGAAGATAGTAAGGAAATTATTACTACTTAACATAGAATTGAATCATGATGATCTCAATTGTAGCCTATTTTTCCAAATGTTTTTCACCCAAATGTTTTTATTTAAATATTTGAAGATATAAATACATTAACCTAGTTCAGAAATTTAAAAAATATTTAGGAAGGTTTAAATGGAAATTCTCCCTCCCTTGGTCCTCATCTGTCTAATCCTTTCCAGATAACCTCTGGTATTAGTTGATTCTATATCGTAGAATTTCTTTATGTACATATAAGTAAATACAGACGTTTTTCCCATTTTTATCACTAAAGGTAGCATACTGCATATACTATTCTGTACCTTGATTTTTCTTGTTTAACTCGTGGTTATCTTTCCATATTAGTAGATAGAGAGCTTCCTTCCTCATTCTATCTTATTGCTGTATAATGTACAAGAATGCATTTCACCAGTGTCTTACAGGTAGATACACAGGTCATGTCCTATCATTTTAATTGTAGTTTTTTAATTCACATGGTCTCAAATGTATTTTAAAAGTAAGAAACTGAGAAAATGCTGTAGCAGATTATTATAGCATTGTTGTTAGACATAAAGAGATTTTAATAATCTGTTTACATAAAGGTACTCATTATATGAAAAAAAATGCTTAACACATGAGGCATTGTTCCTTAATTTAGGCACCCATTTCCTATTAAAAGGTTGACCTTGAATGTAACTTTAAGTTGGATCTTTCTGATAATACAGGATACCAAGAGTTGTATTTACATGAAGCTGCATTTCTAAATCTAGACTTTTCATAAACCATGCATTTGAAGCAGAAGATACCACAAAGTACTGCATTTATAATTTGGTGAAGGATTTAGTTGAAAGAATACTAGTAGTTTCTGGAAACTTTATTTTTTTGTGTGTTAAGACCTGAGTTGTTTTTAGTCTACAGCCCAGGCTGGACTGGGACTAATGGAATATTACCAAGAATCATCTTCATACTAATTTTGCACAGTCATCATGGCCATAGTCATCATTATAATCTGGATTTTATCATCTACCAGATTTTTTTTTTTACCCCATTTCTTTTTAAATTATACTCAAAATTATCTTCATTGTCTATATTTTTTCAACTACTGCTAATTAAAAATGGGAAGCCTTAAAGGAAGTTCCATTTAAATGTAATTGTTTTAGTGTTTAACATTTTTAAAAAATGAAGATGATTTTGAAGGCTTGTTGAAGGTGTGGTTGGTATGTTCATATGCACTCTTCAGTGAAATGCCTGTGCTCCATTTGTGCTATATATTTTAGTGTCTTTCTAATAAAGGAGTTTTATGGCTACTATGAATTTAAATAATGCTGTTCTTCAATATTTATTCATTTAGCAAACATTTATTTGGGCAATCATTTCTTTAAAGGTTTTCCTTGTTTTTATAGAGGCTTGGCAGGTCCTTTGCCTGTAATTCCCTATGATATTTTATGTGTTACAATGCTACATGTATCATTAAAGCAAACATCTTGTATTATAATGACTTATTTGCATGGCTCACTCTTCTCTTGAAGGATAAGATTGGGTTCTTTTCCTGTTTGTGTCCTAGGGGGAGTACATTAATTTATTATTATTGCTTTTTCTGTGCCAGTCACTGTGATAGTCCTATGGATCAAAAGATGTTTAGGACTGCTTGGTTCCTGCTTCAGGGGAACTCAGTGTATAGTTTGTATAAATGTATAGTATGTAAAACAATTAAAGTGCTATATTGGAATTAGAAGATAGGTGTTAGGGGAAGCACTGAGGGAGAAGGTTTAACTCTGGAACTGAAGATTGGAGAAGATGTTAGGGGTAGGCCTCATAGAATGCCTTTCATGTTAGGATGAAAACTGGAGAATAATAATCCAGGTGCTGATTTTAGGTGCTGGAATTTTTCAAAGAGAAAAAAAGATTCACTGATCAAATAAGTTTTAGAACTCTCCATCTTGGAGATTTGCAAAGCACATTCCCATTTTAAAGATTCTGAATAGTTCTGAGTAATGAAGTAACCTTTTAACTTGTGTAACCCAGAATTTTCCAAAGTACTGATTCGTTTCCTCCTGCCTTGCAGTTTCTATTTACATCCACTAGAACTAATGTTCTGAAACACTCTGAGGCATGTTTCCTGATCCACACCTCTGTGGAACAAAAATCCCTTGGGATTAGAATAATACGCTGCAATTTGTGGAAATGTTTTTTTTTGTTTGTTTGTTTACTAAGAGTCTTGGAAATAGATGGCTCATCAAATAGTGGTATTTTATCTAATGTGAACAGGAATATCCAAGTTTTCTCTTAGAGCAGATATGTGGCCAGACATATCCCTTAACAGAGGATCTGTAGACCTCCCATGGGCAATACTTTAATTACATTAGCATTAAAATGGACCCATAATGTTGGTGTTGAGGGAGGTGTTTGTTGTGTTTTGGGGGATGACCCTTAGTGATATCCTAGTTGCTGAGCTATGTGGTTGAGTCTTAATGGGAAATCTCAAAAGCAATTATTTTAGATCTTCTGGGCATGCTAGAACTTGTAGGTCTTTTAACAATGGCTCAAAAGGGTCAACTACTTAGGACTTGGCATCAGGCTGCCCTTTTTCTTCTGAAGTGAAGTAAACATGTGCTGGTAAATGTTAGATGTTATCATAAAATATTAATATATCTCTTTACATAAAACAGTGGACCAGATATTTGTTAGCTTAAGTATGACATTG